TTTTGAACTTCTGTTAATTCTTCATTACGGTCTTGTGTGTCATCGCCTACATTACCTGGTCCAGACCAGATCCTTCAAACTTCTAAATATAGACCTAACTAATATTACAAAAACCTGGACAAGGTGAGTACAGGTATACAATAAAATAGATACAAAATACTTCAATACTTGGCTTATAGCATTTAAAAAATAAATTAGGACACTTTTAACCACACACGCACTCTGTCAGTCAAACATTTACAATTTACAATCAACAATAGGAAATTTTCAACAACAAAAAATTCAATGAAAGGAATAAAAAAAGTTCCTAGGAAAATGCAGGAAATACGATGAACCGCTACTGTTGAGAGTGGGCGATGTTAACATTCGTCTAGAATGGCGGGTAAATGTCCATGCACAGTAGGCCTGCACACTACTCCAAATCTTCTGAAACACTTGAATGTTAGAGTTTAGTTCCACACAATATTTGAAATATTCCGCTAATACAATGTCAGTATATCAGTTGAATAATACACAGTTGAAAAATAAACGGCTGTCCACATTCACATAACGATAAATGAAAAAAGTTGCTGTCAGGGATTTCCCCAAATAAAAAAACATGGTCTATTCATTACCGTTTTCCAACTTCTTCCGAGAAAAATTGATAAAATGTCACAAAAGCCACAACTAACACATCTCCAAAGAAGTTAACATCTCTACAGTTATTGGCGACACCAAATTGTCGTGACCATAGGTTCAATAAATCAAAGTAGAGATAATAAAAAAACTTTGTTTATTCCAAATCCAAGCAGATCGTCCATGTTGAAATTCACACTCCCAACTCTCTCTCAATCACGTGATCTTACATCATCATTATGAAACAGTCGGAACTGACTGATAATATTGTATGCATATACAATGACTCTTTTATGGATAATATTTGGTTATGACAGTAACAATCGGATGAACAGCTTTGCAGTTATTGCCCTTGACTTAGTAAGAAGCACATCACATTTGGCTTGTAGGCAAAATAGAGACTACAGTTTTTATCCGATCTTGATGAAACTTGGTATGCATAAGTAGATACTGATGAGATCTCAGTCAAGTTCAAATTGGTAATAAGGGCATTATAGAGTTATTGCTGTTGTGTGTATGTCGATGAGACCTTGTTCATGTTTTAATTTGATGATAATTTAATGAACTGTTTTTTGGGTTTTGCCTTGACATATAAGTATCATTAAGATTATTTGAAAACTCATTATTAAGCCACTAAAGACTTTTTTTATCACTTCTGACAGTTGATAGTGGGCATATATTACCATGCTTGGCAGGCTATTTTTGAAGTATGTATAATAAAGTTATAGGAAATGATATTTGGGCAAATTTCTATTCTCAACTAATATGAATTATGAAATATTACTATAGGAGAAAACAATCGGGCTACAATTTCAATAAGTGAAAATACATTTGCTTTATTAGGAATTTAGACTGAAAACTTGAAAATTTGAATTAAAGCTGCTGTGTAGATGTCGGTCAGAATATATAGAGCTCAGATATAAAAGAGCTTTAGTCAAATATAAAAATCAAATGTAAAAAATATGTTTGTATATACATTTCAGATCAATTGGAAAAAACAAAGTTTTAAAAATTATTTCAAATCTTATGGTAGAGATGAAGGAAAACAATATCATATCTCCTTATGTGTTTAGAAAGGTTTGTTTTATATCAAATATGAAAAAGAGACGTCAAATGGAAATTTGCATGGTGACATTCTTAGGAAGAGGTGGTTGGATTGCAATGGAAACTAATCTGTCACAGTAATTACTGTAGCTTAAATTAGCAATCATATAACCTATAGTTCTTTTGCAAATTAATCACAGAAACTTCTTTGAATGGATTGAAAAACCTACCTGGAAAATGATCGACATTATTGTCACCATAATAGTTTTTTTTTTCATAATGGCTCATTGTATCTTCAGTTTTTACATGGAAGAGATTTGTAGCCAAAATATTATGCTAAGGACAGACTGGATGAATTTTATTTGCTGGTACTTTGGTCCGAACTATTCGTCGGAATTCATTTGAGCAACGTAGTGATACTGGGCAAATTCCTGTGTATAAAACTAACAACAGCATAAAATAACAAAAAGATTAATTAGAAATATTACAACAGAACCTCAAACATTTTGTTACTTAGAGATTTACTCTATGCGATCTTCAGACAACTGATTTATTTTAGCCTGCATCCCTACTGAAGTTTGACAAGTTAAACTTATTTTCATGTCTACATTTCAGAACGTTTGTTTAAAGGGACAGATGCTCTATTTTGGAGGTTTGATTTGAGTCTTGAATATATGTTAATAGTCTTCAGAAGTACTAGAAATTATTCCTTAAAGACATGTGCTTAAGGGCATTTATGATGGTTTTTATTATACGCCTACATCTCTCTATGTGGACGTATATTGTCGGTCCGTCAACATTTGCTTGTAAACGCTCTAAAAACACTCTAGATTTTTTGATGGAATCAAATGAAATTCGGTATGTGTATACATATTCATAAAACGAAGATCAAGTTCGAATTTAAACTATTTTCGACCATTAGAAGCAGAGTTATTGCCCTTGCCCCAAAATCTTGAATATGCTATTAATCTCTTAGTTTGCAACCGATTTTGATGAAACTTAAAATCGATGTTATTGGACCTCGATCGAAAATTTGAGAAAGGTTAGTTTACTTCTGATTAAATTTAAGGCTTTTTCAAGATTTAGGCCTCTTATGTCAGTTTTCGAGTTTTCACCCTTTAACCTCTATACAGTAAGTGCTTCTATCAAAATCAATTGCTTGTAAACACTCTGAAAACTACAGTTTTTGATGGAATCAAATGAAATTCGGTATGTATATACATATTCTTAAAGCGAAGAGTTCAAATTTGATCTATTTTCGACCGTTAGAAGCAGAGTCCTTGCCCCAAAATCTTCAACATTTACCATTCGCATGCCGTGGTGAGCGTATATGGCTGTGGTCCACTATCTTTGTGTAGCTCTGCTATCAATGGACCAGGATATTTTGTAATTATTATTTTTTCGGTGTTCAGTGCTCGTGTTAAAAGGGGCATTTTGCATTCATGCTAACATATAGAGGAAGATGCCCCTTTTTCGTAAAAGTTTCGTTTTAAAATATCCAGGTGTTAAGTCACAAACAGCTACTGAAGTCTTGCTGACCGGTTACGCTAGTATTTTGAATCCCCTGGACTCCATTTTTACTGTACTAGATTTTTGATTATGAAAAATATGAGGGTTGTAGGTCTGTAGTTCTAAATACTTCACACAAACATCACATCATTTATTTCTTTTAATTCTAAAATTCTAAAATTAAAATGGTTTCTCTGTCGCCAGTTCAACATTTAGAAACTATACAACGGACATACACATTATATCCTCAATGATAAGCCCAGTTCTATACGGTAAAATTAAAGCAGAATGCCCCTTAAAATGACTGTTTTCATTCAGCCCCAGAAATGTTTTACGTTTCATTTGTGTCATTTGTTTCGGTATTTGTGACTTCAGCCTTGTATATTAAACTCTATTAGTTTGGCATTCACCATTTAGTGGACATAACTCTTTGAAGGTAAAAATAATCATTTTCTTCTACTTATTAAATCTGTAGTAGAGAAATATCTTCAAGTTCGCTATTACTATGAGGGTAGACAGGAAAATTTCATCTAGAGTCAATAAAACTTTGAAAGTGAATATTTTTTTACGGTTTGATTTTATATATTGAGGAAAACAGTTTGTTCTCATGTTGTACAAATGTTTAAAAATAAGGAATTTTAATTAATTCAAAATTATTAAATCCAATTATTCATTGATTCATGTAAGTAGTGCAAATTAATAGACTTGTAGTATACATGTTATATTTTGTTGTAAAATAATCAAAAGTGTATATTAGGAATTACCTATGTACTTGGCCTAAAAAAATTATTTTTACTCTTTGAAAATGACTAATGACCTTTTTACAACTGTATTAAGTTTATGAATCCAAATGGATTCAGCCAGATCTAATTTTCTTTTATCTGCATTATAAATTTTCTGTAGGATAGTGGTTTTAAAACAATGTCCAGGTGTATTAAAATGAAGTTCTACTCTAGGGGCTTTACCTGCTTTGTTAAGTTTAATGTTTGACCTGTGCTTGTTAAGCTTTATGCTGAAATCAATGTTAATTATAATCAGAATTTTTAAGCAAGGTTTCCTTTTACTTCTTTTGTTATACAACAATATAGATTGATACAGCACTACTTTCAGTTCTAGAAGTCTTTAGGTTAATATATTATTTCTTATCTTTCCATTTCCATCGACCATGCTTCTTGGTTGGTTTTGCTCGTCACATCAGGACTGAATTTGGTGCGAATTGTGTTAGACCCCAACAAATGTTAGACCCCCACAAATGAAATTGTGACTGACTCCAGTAGATTGCGACTAACATTTGTAACTAGTTGGTATAAATTTGACTGATTTTTTCAACTGCAATGCAAATAAATCAATTTGCGCTCCATTGTCAGTTTAACGGGTTCAGTTTCATCCATTTGCAGTTTTTCATCATCATCTCTTGTTGGTGTGGATTTTCTTGTCTGGACAACATCATCTATGACTTTCAATAACTCTGTACTGGTTCTCTACCTGAAGTGAAATGCATTCACAATTAATAATAACAATAATAATCGCGTTTACATGAGACGAAAATTTGGCGTCTTTTTCAATTTCGCACTTGACACAGATTGTGCGAATTCTTATATCATCAAGTGCAGTTATAGGAACTAGTACACATCCCAGGGAATGGGTTTTTAAGGATTCACTTAAGTATCAAAATCATTTTTCTAAATTCACGTGTAATGGCGGTCAAAATACACAAAAAATTACAGTTAATTTCATGAATCAGGATGATGGAATGGATACCCCTCGCCCCCACGTTAACAAACGAATATTTACCCCGTATCGAAGTCGATCTGTGGCCTGTGACTTTTCGTCTAATCCAGAATCATACAGTCGAGTGGCAGTGGTAGCTCATAGAAGCCATCAAAACCAGCATTAGCCCACAATTTTTTCACACCCCCAGAGAGGGTATGATGTCCTACTGGCACAGCACAGTACCAAGTATCTCGTTTAGGATACTTCGGTGGTCGAACGTAATAGGAATTGCAGGTTTTTGGTCTGAAAAGACAATTAAACCATAAACATAAATAGTTCACATATTACACAATGAATGATTGACTGGGATGAACCGTACAAGACATCTGACTGGTTTTTCTTGGTTTGGTCCAATTTTGACAGTTTTCGGTGTCAGACTTCTGTGTGAAAATACACCATTATTCATCTTAAATTTGATATATTGCCGATTTTTATACGCCCTCTTGAATATGTGGTCGTATATTGTCGTCCCGTCGGTCCGTCGGTCAACATTTCTTGTGAGCACTATAGAGACTACAGTTTTAATCTGATTTTGATAAAACTTGGTGTGATGCTTTAGATTGATAAGATCTCGGTCAAGTTTGAAATTGACATATGTTCGATGAACTGTTTTTGAGTTATTGCCCTTGACTTTGTTAAAACGCGTCAAAATTTGTTAAAAATAGTTCGTGAGCAGGATTGAAGCTACAGTTTTCAACCGATTCTGATGAAACTTGGTATGATCATTGGAATTGATAAGATCTCGGACAAGTTCTAATTTGACGCATTTTCGATGAACGGTTTTCGAGTTATTGCCCTTTGACTTTGTAAAAACGTGTCAATATTTGTTAAAAATAGTTCGTGAGTAGGATTGAAGCTACAGTTTTCAACCGATTCTGATGAAACTTGGTGTGATCATTGGAATTGATAAGATCTCAGACAAGTTCTAACTTGATGCATATTTGATGAACGGTTTTCGAGTTATTGCCCTTGACTTTGTAAAAAAAGCGTCAAAATTTGTTAAAAATAGTTTGTGAGCAGGATTGACGCTACAGTTTTCAACCGATTCTGATGAAACTTGGTGTGATCATTAAAATTGAATAGATTTCGGACAAGTTCTAACTTGACGCATTTTCGATGAAATGTTTTTGAGTTAATTCCATTAACTTACGAAAAACGCGTCAAAATTTGTTTGTGAGCACGATAGAAGCTACAGTTTTCAACCGATTTTGATGAAACTTGGTGTGATCATTGGAATTGATAAGATCTCAGACAAGTTCTAACTTGAGGTATTTTTGATGAACTTTTTTTGAGTTATTGCCCTTGACTTTGTAAGCACGCGTCAAAAGTTGTTTTTTGCCCTTGATTAGAGCTGTGTGATTTAATTGTTTGTTGTATTTGGGTTATTGATATTGATTTTAAAAAATTTTGTGGAATTATTCAGCATAAATAATTTCTTCAATATGAGAAAATTCGTACTTTAGTCACTAAAGACTGTTGTATTATTTCTGACAGCTGCCAGTGGGCGTATGTTACCTTGCAACGCAAGCTATCTTTATTGAGTGGTGTTCTTTGCCGCCTCGTAAACAAAGGTTGATTCTTTTCAGATAAAACACAGTGTCTATTAACTTTTGGGGCGTGTCTTCACCCAACAGGCTCTGTTCCCAGAGCATGTCCTCCTGATCTTTTGTTTTTATATCCGCCTTTTTCTTATGTACACCTATTCCACTTTGTACCAAGGACCACATTTTGGCATCTAATATCTGTAGCAGTGGTAAAAGTTGAAATCTGTATTGAATTAATATTTCGGCCATAATCTCACAGAAAAAAACGTATGGACATTAATATTTTGTGAATTGTATTCCCTTGATAATCACCACCTCTTTGATTTTTCACTTCCATCAAGAACAATAATAATCGATCAAACATGTCACTGTCATTCAGTTAAAAAAGTGTTTCACCAATATTATTTTGAATTCCATGTCGCTCTCCGTACTAGGAATAAAAAATTTGCACTGCCCACTGACACTTTTTTTCTGTATTTTTGTTGATGGCAACTCCTTTCAAGGAGGTCATTTCAATTTTGGACATTGGTTTCCCTAATCTACCTGTTGTCAAACTTTTAATTGATGACCTGGGGATGCTCTGCTCTATCAAGTGTTCAGTTGATTGAACATTGCCTGCTTCAAATTCTTGAGTGGTGCGAAGTAGTTCTTCATAAAAGAATTAATGTGGTCTATGTCAAGTGAATGCTCCAAATTGAAGTTACCCACAGGGGCTACCATGTTGTTCAGAAAGTCTTCAAACCTTGACTTACATCGCAGGATTCGAAAGTATTTTGCGCATCTTCAGAAAAAGTACTTTGGGTGAGGAAAAGGTCATCTAAATCCGACAAAATTTGTTGTTGTCAGACTATAAAGATTCGAACGTGTGAGCTTTTATATGACGCCAATAGTAAAGTACGTTCATGATGCACGTGAGATAGTTATAGACATTTGAACGATCCACGTGCAGCTATATAGGGCGCTAATAGTCGAATTTAGGTTTAAGTAGGATACACTCCTAACACGCCAATAATTTTGACCTGTATGAAGTAGTCGGCCTAATCAACCTCTGACTTCATATAGGTCAAAACTATTGGCGCGTTTTCAGAGTTTATCCCTTTACATATTCCATGCATGATAAAAGCTGGATTGTTGATTCAAAATCAATAAGGACACCCACTCTTTAGTCGTTTAAAACTTTCCAGAAAGCCAAGATAAAAATAAGGTTTAAAGTAGTGAGCACCATGTTTTATTATACAATTACTTGCATTAGGGATTTTAACTAGTTCGACGATTGGTGAATAAAATACCCATAAATGTCTCAAATGCCTGTTTGATATAAAATTCATTGTTGTGCATTGTGTACAGTGTATTCTGTGATATTCAAAACAACTGAGTTCTCCAACAACCTTTTCTGGTCCTGAATGAGTTTTCTTCTTACCACACTAATGAGTGGTCCCGACACTCAGAATATCTTTACAATCCAACATCTGCTCATCTTAATAACATATTGCCAATTAGATAAACGCTGGTATAATTGATAACCAACATCGCTTCAAGATCAAGGTCATTGCTTTTAGATCAAATGGCTTGGGTCATTATTAGAGGTACTTGTGTCATTCATTACAAGAAATATGCATTAACTTTAGTATTATTTGTTGCGTGTTTTATCACAATTTTCAAAATATCATTTAAGTTGCAATGCCGAAACGCCCTGCAGAGCGTGCCGGTAATGATGTGTCTATAGGTATGAAACAGCAAATTGGTGATTATGGAAAAATCTGGTGTCCTATGGGTGCCATGAAATTTGGTTTACGTCAACAACAGTATGTGGCATTTTAAAACGTAAAGAAAAATTTAGAAAAAACGCATACACAGTAACTCAAAATATGCAAAATTAAATAACAATAATGTATACAACTGAAGAAATGTCTGTTATTATTGTCTTATAATTAAAAAGGTACTTTAGATTCTTATCTGTGTCAATGAAAATCTCTGAAATATGAGTACTATGATACAATCACTAATCCGACATTGTTTTACAGTCCCAATGTATACATGTCGCATTACACAGAGTATACTGTATTTATTGATAAGATCTTAGTGAATTTCAAATTTGGAAATGATTTAGAGTTTTTGTCCTTAACGTAGTAAACGTATCAACTTGTATCCGTATACACAATAAAGGCTACAGTTCAGACCTAAAAATTTATCAAAATGAGGATAATCCTGAGTGATTCTGTCAAAAACAATCTGCCAGAGTCCTGTGAATACTATAGGATCTACTCAAAATGTAAATACAAGGCTCCTATTCTGTTCATTTCAATTCATATTGAAAAATCCTTTAGTTTATGTTTAGTTTATGCAGTTTATATCTGAACTTAAGAAACTTCAATGAGATCAGGTTTAATAATGACAATAATTTGATTTTTGTTTTTGAGTTATTGCCCTTGACAAATTTGGTGTGAAAAATGATACAGGCAGCAATTATAGGACCTTTACGAAACTTTGTACGTCGATCAAGTTCGAAATTGACAATATTTTTTTTCATATAGTAAAACGCCCTTGAGAAAGGTTATAAATGTGATCAATAAAAATCATGCAGACAACAGTGATTTTCGAATTTTGATGAAATTTGAAACGAATTGTGACCATTTTTCATTTGTTAATTACCTACTCCGATTTCCAGGATTGGTTGGTCTTGGTCAATTTGTCCTTTTATTTCATTTTTATCTTATTTTGTTATATTTTAATGTTTAATTCAGCTAGGTTCCCTTATACTCAGTTTTACTGTATTTTTCACTAAAGGGAAATAATCATGTTGAAATTCACCTTGAAAGTGGGCCAAGCATGGGTCGTATTTATTTCCATTTTATTATATGTTCACAATATGCTACAAGTCATTAGCTTTCATGTGATATGCATTTTAATAGGGTAGGGCTTGGGTTCGTATTTTTAATGTATTATTTTAACTCATAAGAGTACCAGGCAAGTCGGTTTATGGGGCACTCAAAATGTATAAATAGAGTTTAATTTCTTTCATTCGAGGAACTCTGTCATTTGAATTCACAGAAACACTGAGACTCCAGAACACAGAAGTCTGAAGGAACAGGTTCCCTATGTAAGTAGAGAGGCTTACATGGTAAGAGGAGATTAGGGAGATTTTGAATGAAAGATACTAGGTGTTAGTATCCTTATCTACTGTACCGATACCCGTTTCCGCTCGGCGGGTACTCAACTTTGTTGGAATAAAGTATATTTTGTTGTCAAGTGTGAATTATATATGTCTCTTTGTCCTATATCTTGATGTCTGCGGGTAACACTAAGGATATAGAGAGATATATATAATTTATAAATTTTTGGTGGCTGGAGTGGGATTTATTCATTGAAATCCCTATGAATTTTGGTGTGAGAAGGATGACATCGATCAGGAATCTGGAAGAGGAGCTTCAAAGTTTAAAGTCATCGTATGAACAAGACATACATAGATTAGAAGAGATTATAAGTGAAGCTGGAAGCAGACACAATACATCTTATTCATCTTCGTATTTAGAGTTCATGCAAAGACGACAGACGCAGAAACCTGACTTCGTCGACAACGAAATCACACCGCCATTATTCAGTGAATCATCTCTGAGCAATATTCAGAATGGACAGAGGAATACACCGAGACGAAGTGTTTCCTTTGAGGACACAGAAACAAATGATGATACATCAAATTCCAGACAGGCAAGTGCTAATTATACCAATGACAGAACATCATTGATTGGACAACATGGTTCAGTGCACTCCGGTTTAAGTAGCCCAGATGTAAGAGAAAGAGAAAATGAAACTGAAATGAACAATTTTGTTCAACCAAGACTACAGACAAAATGGACATCAACTCCCGCTGGAACGGTACCAGCCACAGCATGTTCAGATTTAGGTTCTCAGAATGCTTATGCAGTTAGAGATCGTCGACCCTATCAAGACTATGACAGAAGAATGGACCAACCACAATACAACTATGGAAGAAAACCCATTAGTATGCCAAATAAATATGATGGCTGTTCAAGTTTGGAAGATTATTTGATACAGTTTGAAGTTTCTGCTAGAATAAACAGATGGAATAATAGAGAAAAGGCAGAGTTTTTAGCTGTGAGCCTGGTAGGGCCTGCCCAAGAATTACTTGGCACAGTAAACCCCTACACATTACAGGAATATGGAGCTTTAGTAGAGGCATTAAGGCAGAGATTTTCACCACCGCAGTTGACAGAATTAAATAGAGTTACGTTCCAGAAAAAGACAACCAATGGAGACGTTGCCTGAGTTTGCTCAAGCTGTCAGACGTCTTGTGAATTTAGCTTACCCTCAAGCGACAACAGAGATGCGCGAAACCTTAGCATTAGATCATTTTATGGAGATTCTTGGAAGTGTTCAAGTTAAAATGCTGGTTTATCAGAATAAACCCAAAGATTTGACCAGCGCCTTGCACCAAGCTTTATCATTGGAGGCTATTGAAAGGGCCGATATGAATAGGCGGGGGAAGATTGCATTTCAGATATCTTCTACTAAGGATAGAGATGACTACAAGAGAAACTCAAAGCAAGATAGGACAAAGCAACAGAAGAATGAGAAAGCCTTGGAAGAAAAGCAGCAAGATGATTCAAACAGAGAAGAGATCAGACAATTGAAAAAGGAGATAGAAGATTTAAAAGAAATGTTAAAAGATTTAAGAATAAAGAGTAGATCTACGGATCAGCAAACTCCTTCACGACCTCCACTATCATCAATTACTTGTTGGTCTTGTATGGAGAAAGGTCATTACGCATCATCATGTCCAGTAAGATCGTCGCCAAGCACGTATCAGAAGGCGACTGTTAATAGTTTGTTATCCGAAGAAGAGACCAATGCTGATTCGATTCGAACAGTTGGATTTGCTACACCTTTTGCAAATGGACTGTATGTAGATGGTACAATGGAAGGGTTGCAGACAGAATATCTCATTGACACAGATGCTAGTCTTACAATGATATCCACAGAATATTATAAAAAGCTTCCTTACCAGCCAGAATTGAGTCCAGTAAAAGTGATCCAAGCTGATGGGACACCTATGGAAATACAAGGTAAAGCAACCTTTAAGGTAACAGTTGGAACAATCTCCATGGACGTGAAATGTGCAGTAGTTAAAATGGAAGCAGATGTGATTCTTGGTCTGGATTTTCTGATCGAAAATGAGATGGTGCTAGACATGTCTTGTAGAGTGCTGTATTATAAAGGATGTGAAATCCAATGTTTTATAAAGGGAGGACATGGAATTTATAGAGTTAAAGCCAAAGAGAGTGTGGTGATTAGACCTAATACTGAAGGTGTCATAAGAGCAAAACTAACAGGGAATTCAGAAATGCTTTTACCATTTGAAGGTATCGTAGAGAGATTGGAGTTACCTCCACCTGACTTGCCAATGGTCGGCAGAACCTTAGTGAGACCTTCTGATGAAGGTGAAGTAGTCTTCCTATACTGAATCCAACACCAGATGAGAAAGTTATCAAAGAAAACACAACCATTGCAGTGATGGATGCACCATCACGAATCAGTTCATTTGAGAGAACAATTAAAGACGAAGATGAAGTTGCTGATAATAAATTAATAACAGATCTACTGAAAGCGAGCAACCAGCGATTGACAAACACAGAATACGAAAAGGCTTCAGAAATGTTGAAGGGCAAACTTTCAGCTTTTGCCAGAACAGAAGATGATTTGGGAAGAACCAATGTGGTGGAACATTCAATCGACACCAATGGAGCCCAACCAATAAGACAACCGATGAGAAGGATGCCGTACTATTCCAGAGAGGAAGTGAGAAAGCATTTACAGGAGATGACTGATAGAGACCTTATAGAGGAATCGAATGGATCCTGGGCGTCGCCAATAATTCTTGTAACAAAGAAAGATGGAACAACCCGCTTCTGTGTTGATTACCGAAAGATCAATCAAACAATTTCCCACGATGCATATCCACTCCCTCGGATAGATGACTCCTTAGATTGTCTGGCTGGGTCAAAATGGCTGTTGTGTTTAGACCTCATGAGTGGGTTTTTCCAAGTGTCTCTCAAACCTGAAGATCGTGAAAAGACAGCATTTTCTACTCCTTTTGGTCTTTATCAGTTCAAAGTTATGCCGATGGGGCTTTCCAATAGTCCAGCTACGTTTGAAAGACTTACAGAAAGAGTGTTGTCAGGCCTTCATTGGAGAACATGTTTAATATACCTTGATGACATCATCTTGTTTGCTGCTACAGTCGAAGAGCACATCGAAAGATTAGCAGAAGTTTTGGATCGAATTATTGAGGCGGGTCTGAAGCTCAAACCCAAGAAGTGTCAATTGTTTGCCACAGAGGTTAAATATTTAGGTTATATAGTTGGCGAAAATGGTTTACAAACGCATCCAGCTAAAATTGCAGCTGTGAAAGACTGGCCAGTACCAAAATGTCTCACAGAAGTTCGCAGCTTCTTAGGTTTGTGCAGTTATTATAGAAGATTTGTACGTGGATTCTCTACCATTGCTGAACCACTCAACAGACTAACAGACAAGTCAGCAGTATTTAACTGGAATGATTCCTGTCAGGAGGCGTTTGAGAGTTTAAAGAATTCTTTGATATCTGCACCTATACTTTCACATCCTGATCCATCCAAGGAATACATATTGGATACCGACGCAAGCGACACTGGTATAGGAGCTGTGTTGAGTCAGGTGGATGAAAATGCTATAGAAAGACCTGTTGCATTTTCCAGTAAAACATTGACAAAATCTCAAAGAAACTACTGTACAACAAGGAAGGAATTGTATGCTGTTGTATATTTTCTACAGCATTTTAGACCCTACCTGTATGGACAAAAGTTCACATTGAGGACAGATCATGCCAGCCTTAGATGGTTAGTTAATTTTAAGAATCCTAACGGACAACTAGCAAGATGGTTAGAAGTTGTGGCTAATTACAATTTTAATATTGTTCACCGCCCTGGGAAACTTCACAATAATGCAGATGGACTTTCTAGGAAACATTGTCCATTGTGTCATTGTTTTGAGGAGAACGAAGAGGATGCGGACGTAAGAAGTGTCAATATTATACAGATGATTCCTGATGTGAATGAAATGCAGAAACTACAGTTGGAAGATCCTATTCTGTCGAAAGTTATTTCCTGGTTTGAAGTAGGTAAACCGTCATGGGATGAAGTGTCTAGTGAATCAAGAGAATTAAAATCATTGTGGGCTCAATGGAAGCAACTTTCTCTACAGAATAACCTCCTTGTAAGACGCTGGATTCCAGTTGGAGACCAGGATGACACATTCAAAATTGTAGTTCCATTACTGTCTAGAGACAGTCTCTTGGAATTAGTACATGATATCCCAGCTGGTGGACATCTTGGAGAAGATAAGACTTATTCTAAGATAAGCCAATCCTTCTACTGGCAAGGATTACGAGAATCTGTTCGACATTGGATTCGTAGCTGTGAATCTTGTGCCAGGAGGAAAAATCCAAGTAGGCGAGCTAGAGGAAAGCTTAAACCATCTGCATCTGGTTATCCTATGGAGAGGATTGCTATCGATATAATGGGTCCAATGATGGAGAGTAAGAAGGGAAATCGCTATATCGTTGTAGTCCAAGATTACTTCACAAAATGGGTGGAAGTGGTTCCAACCTCTGATGTCTTGGCATCAACCGTAGCAGATGTTCTTTTAACTTTTATAGTAAGATTTGGAGTTCCAGGGAGCATACACTCAGATCAAGGTGTACAGTTTGAATCAGAACTATTTCAAGAACTTTGCACTTTACTCGGAGTAACTAAAACTAGAACAACACCCTATCAACCGGCATCAGATGGCCAAGTTGAGCGTTTCAATCGCACAATACAGAGTATGATTAGTCATTTTATAGGGAAGTATCATGATGATTGGGACAATTACTTGGACCTTGTATGTTGGGCCTATCGTTCAACTGAACACGAAAGTACTGGACTTTCACCCAATAAATTGATGCTTGGAAGAGAAGTAGATATACCTATTAATGTGATAGCTGGTAGGCCTCCTGGAAGCCTCTTTACTGCAGTAGAATACATTAACACGTTGATCAGGCGTATGGATACAGTCCACGAAACTGCAAGGTCAACACTAAAGAAATCCGCAGAAAGAGCCAAGAAGAGATATGATCAACATGCAAATCAACATGAATTCTCTGAAGGTTCTAGAGTTTGGGTATACATACTGCGGAAAAGACCTGGTTTAATTGGCAAGTTTCAACAATTCTGGACTGGACCGTATATAGTTTGTGCAAAGATTGCAGATCTAACATATCTGGTAGAAAGACTTGATGATGGTGAGAGATTAGTTATCCATCATGACAAACTTAAGAAATATGTTGGCAGACTCAATACCAATCCAGAGACAGTTCAAGAAGATAATATGGATCCAGAAAAAGAAACTGATGCTTTTCCGCCAGATATCCCGGTTGATGTTATCCAAACTCGCACCAGAATAATTAAGCCTCCAGTTCGATATCAACATTAACAATTTTCTGACATCAGTGTTTGAATGAGAGTGTATGTGAGAGAGTATTTATTGTTAATCATGTTTTTAATTCCAGAATACAGTACATCATGAGTCAGAGAGATAGAATTAGAAGTGTTTGTAGGACGGTGGCTTACATGGAAAGTAACAGAGCATCAAGTTCAGAAAGAAGGAGTAATAATGATCATGGACGCAGTAGAAGTGGAGGTGATAGGTATGATTCAAGAAGAGGTGAAAGGGTTGAAAAGAAGAAGATTAATGGGAGATTATTATGATCGAAGAAGGCGAAATGCAAGCAGATTGGAGAAGCACAGACATGATATGGATCGAAACAAGCAAGATACAGATAACAGAACAGAGAGAAAAGAGGATTGGAAAGGGAGTGATTCCAGTGATTATCAGACAAAAAGAATTTAGATAGGAGTTCAAAGATAGAGAAGAGAGTTGAAGCAAGAATGGATGAAACTGTAAAGGAAAGGAAGGTTGTGGCAAAGAAGATGGACAAGGAAAGTACCTCAGCGGCGAGTAGTAGTGAGAATGTAAATGTAGTGGATGATAGAGAAAGTGTATTAACAGAAGATAGAATGGAAGTGTCTGAAGACATTGAGAAAAGCAGTTTGTTTGAGTTGCAAGAGAAAGACGGAAATCATATTGAGGTAATTCCACAAGCTGAACTAGCGAAGATGGCATTCCCGTACTTCTGCGAAGAATGTAGGAGTCTTTTTGCCACAGAAGAAGACTTGATTAAGCATGAAGGGATCTATCATTATCAGCCTCAGCACGTGACAATGCCATCGATTAAGTCTGACGACTTTTGTAAAGAATGTAGAGTGAAGGCATGTGGAGAGAAATTCAAGACAAGGCATGAATACAACTGGAGAAGACACATGTTAGTACATCTGCCAAAGGGAGATAAGTATAATGAGGCACTTGAGGCGTTTGTCAAAAGCCAGATTAGACAAGCTGATAACAACTTCGAAGATGTCGTCAGTGAAGATGATGATATGGAATCTGTGATACCACCGGTTAATTTAGTCACCCACACATCAACACATATATTAAAAGATGCTGTGGAATGTAAAGTGACAGACAAAGTCGTTTCTGGTAGTGATGGAGAGACTAAATCTTAATCAGTCATTCCAAGATGGGCACAAGAAGTCTCCACATACAAGGTTAAAGAACAGAAGAAGACTCTTCAGAGACACACTACATATTATCAGACCATTTTCTGGCCTAAAGATTTGCCTCCACCACCGCCAATTGAAGTAGCAGAAAAGAAACGACTAAGACAAGCTGTAAAAACAACGGGAGAGGATGATTGAAGATTTTAAGATTTTGTATTTGTGTTCGATCGAGGGCGATCGCTTCTCGGAGTCGTGGGTAGTGTGACCATTTTTCATTTGTTAATTACCTACTGCGATTTCCAGGATTGGTTGGTCTTGGTCAATTTGTCCTTTTATTTCATTTTTATCTTATTTTGTTATATTTTAATGTTTAATTCAGCTAGGTTCCCTTATACTCAGTTTTACACTAAAGGGAAATAATCAATGTTGAAATTCACCTTTAGATAAGTGGGCCAAGCATGGGTCGTATTTATTTCCATTTTATTATATGTTCACAATATGCTACAAGTCATTAGCTTTCATGTGATATGCATTTTAATAGGTTAGGGCTTGGGTTCGTATTTTTAATGTATTATTTTAACTCATAAGAGTACCAGGCAAGTCAGTTTATGGGGCACTCAAAATGTATAAATAGAGTTTAATTTCTTTCATTCGAGGAACTCTGTCATTTGAATTCAAAGAAACACTGAGACTCCAGAACACAGAAGTCTGAAGGAACAGGTTCCCTATGTAAGTAGAGAGGCTTACATAGTAAGAGGAGATTAGGGAGATTTTGAATGAAAGATACTAGGTAGTATCCTTATCTACTGTACCGATACCCGTTTCCGCTCGGCGGGTACTCAACTTTGTTGGAATAAAGTATATTTTGTTGTCAAGTGTGAATTATATATGTCTCTTTGTCCTATATCTTGGTGTCTGCGGGTAACAGAATGTTAATGTTGTTAGTCATTAGATACTCTGTTATCATTTCTGCCAGCTGCCAGTGGGCGTATGTTAACTTTCCTGGCAACCTATCTTCATCTGATATTATTGAAATTTGTTGTGATTTTTCATATTGATAACTTCTTAAAAAAATATTTCAGGAGAGAGATGAATATATGTTTTTATTGAATTATGCAACATTAGATGATACTTTACCACAAATGTGCCAATTGCACCGAGCTTCAACGTTGCAAAAATCTGATCAGTCTGCTATGGTAGGTAAACCAAGAATTTTTTAAAACGTAGCTAATGCTCACAGTTTTTTTGTCCGAATGTAAGGGAAGGTAGGCAAGACATATTTCTTCTGACAGGTGTATGAGGATTAGGAAGAATTGGCTATGAAGCTTGCATAATTTTGCACTGATGCATTAATTACAGAGAGCCTTATGTAGTCCGAAACATCTACTCTATGCCAGCCTCTGAGCAATAGCAATTTACTGCCATTACATTTGTGGGCGTATAACTTTGGCCATTGATATCTTATTATATTTTTATAAAAAAACTCAAACCTTCAGGTCTTTTTAGACATATTTATTTACATTAAATCCACCAAGCGCTGATGCTGGGCCATCACTGCTCCTTTTTGTTTGTGACCCTGTGACCACTTGATCCTTCGATGCGCACACCTTTTTATACCCCAC